GGGGGGGGGGGGGGGGGGGGGGGGGGGGGGGGGGGGGGGGGGGGGGGGGGGGGGGGGGGGGCAAGCAGACGTCAATATATACGAGTGCACGAATGGAATGGAATGTAACAGGAGCACACGCAAGAACAAGGCATCAGGGGGAGGAGAGACAACTAATGGGTGGCGGAAGCCAGCATATGACACCCCGGTCGCCCCGGTGGTCTAGTGGGTAGCCTCGCAGCCTGCTAAGGGCCAGGTCATGGGTTCGAGTCCCGGCAGAGAGTTTTTTTCTCACTTAATAAATCCTGGTCTAGGATGAAAGCGACGCGCTGCAAAGCTCGTTCGTTAGTTAACCATAATCGACTTCGTAAGTCGCGAGGGAAGGGATTGCTGTACCCTTCTCGCGATAAAAATAATACCTCAGGCATGAACCGCAGGAGGGGGTCCAACCCCCCCCCGCCTTTGTGACCCCGGTTGGGTCGTCTAGCTAGTAGAAGTGGAGGATAGGGGCCAGAGGGGCAGACGACAGAGTCCAATGATGGGAGAAAAACAAAACATCAACAACAACCCCACCACAGGGTCCCAATTCCTGGCCTTGCGGAGCGTTTCACGTTTCTTAGCCGCGCTGAGACTCAAGTACTCTCATTGGTCAACAGATTAGCATGGTCAATACTTCATGCAATCCATAAGGACACACACATCAAGCACACACACCTCGAGCAGGTCCAGCCCGCACTTGTCCATCCCCTGTGATCGGTGGGCGAGGTTCAGTCGTTTCCACGTGGGGAACCCAGGATTCCAATCCTGCAGGTCGGTAACGTTCGGCCACACCTCCTCGTTCGGAGTCCCAAGCAGCCTTATGGCAAGAGCAAGAGCGGGGGGCGCGGGGGCGTACTCTTATGATTCGCATGCCTTAGCGGTTAGACCATTGACCACGCGCCCTCGAGAGGACGGAGCATTATTCCCACAGGACCGATCACCGATGGCCAATCGTTCCTTTCTACTTTGCCAAAGGTGGCTCAAAAATGTCTTCCCTATACCGTATATGACACAAGATAACACACCCCCTTGGCCAATTTTCGAAGCTCGATTTCTCAACTGCAGGAACAGTCACAACGCCGAAAACATCGGCGTTGGAACCGTCTCGTCGAGAGCTTTCCAAACATGTATCGTTTCGTTTATGCATCCTCTTCGTCGTGGAGTAATCGAGCTTTGAACATTGGTCCAGGGGGGGTGTTATCTTGTGTCATCCTAACGATGTTCCTTCCCGCCTTTTCAACCCACCTCCTATACCTCAGTACAGCTACCGTACTTTCCTCTCTATTCCATGCCTNTGCCAAAGGTGGCTCAAAAATGTCTTCCCTAGTCTGTCTATCCTAACGATATCCCTTCCCGCCTTTTCAACCCACCTCCTATGCCCCAGTACAGCTACCGTCCTTTCCTCTCTATTCCATGCCTCAAACATCTCCCTGTACGTCCCATCTATTTTTCCAGTTCAGTCAGNGCATCCTCTTCGTCGTGGAGTAATCGAGCTTTGAACATTGGTCCAGGGGGGGTGTTATCTTGTGTCATCCTAACGATGTTCCTTCCCGCCTTTTCAACCCACCTCCTATACCTCAGTACAGCTACCGTACTTTCCTCTCTATTCCATGCCTCAAACATCTCCCTGTACGTCCCATCTATTTTTCCAGTTCAGTCAGGTACACTTCCCTCTCCTTCTTGTACAACGGACATTCCGCCACTACATGAACACGGTCTTCGCATTCGAAGCCGCAATCACATTTGAACTCGTCGTCTTCGTCGCCTACCGTCCTATGTCTTCGACGTTCTCGAAGGCCTATGTCCCCGGTCCTGAATTTGACCTTAAGCTTTGTTCCTGCATCCATTGGTCCATGTAGGTAGTCCTTGAACCCTATTCCTTCCTTCAACATTCCGTACACTTCTAGACCCTCCTTATCCTTGGTTTCTTTAGATTCTCTCTTCGGCACAATCAATATATACCTTCTCCTTGAACCCCTTTGGAACCCCTGTAGACCCTCCGTTTCCAGCGTTTCATCTTCGTCGATGTCGAGCCCCTTCCATACGTCCTCTACAACCTTGACCCATTCCGTGGGTTGTCTACCCCTCTTTTTGTTTGCCCACTTCGCCTCCCATACAATTCTCGGCAACCTCTCCTCTCCCATCCCGCACATGCGATACTGCCAGGTCAGCTTCCTCGCGTCTCTTCCCGACCGTAGGGATTGGATCCCCAATTCTGCCCTCACGGCTGCATTACTTGTGCGCCTGGAGCATCCTAGGATGATTTTCGCTGCTTTCATCTGCGCCGCCTCGAGTTCTTTCACTACCTTCTTATTTCCTTCCCATTCTTCTCCGGCGTACTCTAGCGGCGGTACGATTACGCTCTCCAAAACCGTCAATTTGATGCGTGTATCGAGGTGCCGGTTTGCGAGTATTGGGTGCAGCTTCCCTGCTCGTGCTTTGCCTTTTTCCGTTACCTTGGACATGTGTGCATTCCACAAGCAGTCTTTTGCAATCTCTACTCCGAGGTACGTGTACTGGTCCACCCCTGCAATCTCCTCGATCCCCCACTTCCATCTACGTTTNGACAAAACCATCCGCAAACAGCATTCCTGACACCGACGTTTCCGTGTCCCTTACTTTGACTCCCTTCCGGACTGCCTCTACAAGTACGACTTCCAACAGATCGTTGATGAACACCTGGAACAATGTTGGGGACAGCGTGCAACCTTGTGGGACCCCCTGCTCAATGTCGAAGAATTTTGACAGTTCTCCGTCTAGCATGACCGCGCTTTTCGTACACTCTGTCATCTTCTTCAGCACTCTCCACATTTTCCCCTTGATCCCGTACTTGGACAGTTGTTTCCACAACCCATATCTTCATACGGTGTCGTATGCCTTTTTCACGTCCACGAAGAAGCAGTACGTCGGTTTTCCCGCCCTTTTTCTACCTTGGATGATTATCCCTATCGTGAATGCATGGTCTACGCACCACCACTTCTCTCGTTGACTATCCCATCCGCTCCTGCTGCTTTGTGGCACTGCAGCTTGTTCACACACGCCTCAACCTCGTCCTTAGTGAACTCCTCTTCTAGTTCTACGTTCCCTACGCCTGCCTTCGATATATCTTCTTTCTGGGCCCATGCGTCCACCTCCTTTTTAAACACTTGGTCAACATCTTCATTTTCCGAGGGCACTCCAAGTCTCTTGTAGTGTCCTGCTAGAACTTCCCTTTTTCCCTTCCCACTGCTGACTAATCCACCGTTCACACCTCGCAAAGTTGCGACCCCTGTATCCCCACCTTGCGCGGTCTTTTTTACCATTCCACTAATCCCTTCCCACATCTGGTTGACGTTTCCCTCCAGGCCTCCGTTGGCCTTCTGCACTACTTCGTCCCAAATACACTTTTTCTTCTTTTTCACTAGTCCCTTCACCTGTTTTCTCTTGGCCCTGTACTTTTCCCAACTCTCCTCAGACGCCTCACTCAGGTACTGCTTGAAGACTTCTCTACGTTCCCCTATTTCTTCTTTCAGCTCGTCATCCCACCACTTAACCGATACCCTACATCGTACCACCTTATTTCCCACTACTCTCTGCCGTTACGTTCACTATGGACTCCCACCCTTCAATCACCCTGTCCCCTGCTGCTTGTACGTCTACCTGTCCGTCTTCGACGCTTCTCAGCAGTTTTCTGACGGGTTCTACACTACCAGCCAGTCCCTTCTGGATTTCATCCCGTGTCCCCTCGTCTCCCAAACGCTCTACTTTCCACCGGAACACCTTCCTCGGTTTCTTACTCTCCATCTTTCTAGATCGGTCGATGTTTGCACATATGAGGAAGTGGTCGGTCGAACCTACATCTATCGCACTTACGTGCAGCTCTGGGATCTGTGTGCTCCCCCCATCTACCAGGATGTAGTCGAGGATCGAGTATTCATTGCAAACTGCCCGTTGCCTGGTGAACTCCGGCTTATCGCATTCCCTCCTACCGTTCAACACCATCAGCTCGTTGCTTCCTAAGAATTCAAGCATCATCCTCACTCCGTTGTCATTCACTTTGTCTTCTCCGTGCTGCCCGATCGCCTGTCCTCTACTGGAAGCTTTCCCTACTCTGGAGATGAAATCGCCCACTATGACAACTTCTCCCTTCCCACTGACCCTTTGGACATCTTCCCCAATTGCCTGCGCCTTGCTTGCGACTTGTTTCGGCGACGGTGGGACGTATACGTTCCCTACAAACAAATCTTTCTCACCCCGCTCCCCAGGTATCTTAAGCCATAGGCTTTCCTCGAACTCCGTTTTCACCACTACTTCCACCACGTCAAACAAGTGTTCTTTGACCAGGGATCCGACTCCCCCCTCCCCCCTTTTCTTCGGGTCACATCACCATCCTTCAATTCCCATGTATCTTGGATCCCCACTACATCTAGATCGCGTTGTTCTACTTGGTTTCCATTTCCAACCGCTTGCGCTCACTCCTTGCGAACCCGCACACGTTCCACGACCCGACTCTCAGCTTGTGCTTTCCCCTATTGGAGATTTTGCACACTCTATCGTTCGCCTTCCGCTTCTTCTCGGACTTCTTCTGACTTGCTTGCTCG